CGAGAAGAGGAGCAGAGGGAACGAGAAGAGGAGCAGAGGGAACGAGAAGAAGAGCAGAGGGAACGAGAAGAGGAGCAGAGGGAACAGAAGAGCAGAGGGAACAAGAAGTGGATAAAAAGACTCAGACATGAACAGAACGTCACAAACTACATCTCTGTAATCAGAAGAACACAGATTATTAATCTTTAAACTAACTTCACCTCAAACCAACAGCTGAAACCTGGACACAGTTTGGGTCCAACAGAACCGTGACCCAAACTCTCATCAGAACCAGGTTCTGACTGGATAAATGGTTTGACCCAGATGGGTTTCTGTAGAAKCGTTCTGACCCACTGATGAGAAACAAAATAAATGTGGTTTATCTCTGGACAGGAAGAGGCTGAAAAAGACTTTTTTAATCATATTTCTAAAAAAAATCTGAGAAGAAAGAAACAAGTGAAATTAGAAGAAACACTGAGAGAAATAAATGTGAGAGAAGAGAGAGAAATGTTTGGAGTTTTCAGTCCTGACAGAGAGGAATGTGTTGTCACACACACACACACACACACACACACACACACACACACACACACACACACACACACACACACACACACACACACACACACACCGAGTGCCAGATGTTCGTTAGCCAATCAGGACAGAGCGTCTGGTTTTCTCAGGTCGACCCACATGAGCCTCAGACACAAACTGAGCTCCACTTTAGTTTTTTCTTCCATTAATCAAAAACTCGTCTGTAAATATTTCCTGGTTTTATGAATGAAAAACTGAACCTTTGAGTTTCTCAAAGGAGGAAATGATTGAAAAACAAAACATTTTGTATTTGTGGAGGTAAACAGGAAATCCAGCTTTTTAATTTAGTGTCACGTTTTCCGCAGGACTGACAAAATAAAATAAAAACAGGTTTAGGAACGCTGTTTTCTGTTTATCAGTGTAAACGCTGAATCAGCATTAAATTTGTTTGTTTTTATTTTCGACATGTTTTGAAGCCTGACTGTTTTTAGACTTTCATTAATCTGAAGCTTCAGCTCAGTCAGAACTTTATTTAGAAGAATTAAACCAATAAAAACACCTCGAGATCATTTCAGCTACTGGAGATGTTTTCTTCTTTTTACTTATTGCTTATATTTGCTGCTCTGCAACTTTTAGCTTCCTGCAAACCTTTGGCTGATTTTAGCCTTTAATCTGTCCTTAGTTTGCGTAGCAATATTCTAGCTTTTAGCTACTTTTGGCATTTGGCTAACTTGCTGTCTTTAAGCTAATCTTGTGCTGCTTTTAGGAAACATCGTTACTTTTAGTTAGCTTGTCGCTATTATAAGCTTTTAACTAGTTATTGCTACATTTAGCTTCAAGCTAGCTTTGTTCTACATTTAGACTTAAAAAGCCTTGTTTACTTTTAGTTTTAAGTTAACCTTTTGCTCTTTGAACAAGCATTCAGTTACCTTTAGCATTAGCTACTCTTTCTTACTTTCAGCTAATGTGTTGTTGCATATAGTTTTTAAATCAAAGTTTTTAACTTTTACCATTTGGCTAGCTGTTTGCTACATTAAGACTTAGCAAGCCTTTGTTACTGTTAGCTTTAACGTTTTTTGATTTACCACTTTTTGAAAGATTTTGCCTACTTTTAGCTAGCCCTTTGCTATAATAAGCATTGAACGCTCATATGAAGAAGCATTTAGCAACATTTAGCATTAGCTAGCCTTTGTTACTTTCAGCTAATGTGTTGCTGATTATAGTTTTTAGATTGCATTTTTTTTCTTTTACCATTTGGATAGCCTTTTGCTAATTTAGACTTAGCAATCCTTTGTTACTGTTAGCTTTAAGCTGATCATTTACCTCTTTGCCTACTTTTTGCCAGCCTTGTTCCATAGTGAGCTTTTAGCCTTTGCTACATAGCTACAACTGAATTTCTGCAGGCGGGACAATAAAGGCTGTTTCTATTCTATCCATTTATCTAGAACTAGCTTTTTCTACTTTTAGCATTTAGCTAATTTTTGCTACCTTAAGACTTAAACCTTTGTAATTTTTAGATTTAAAAATCGTGTGCTGCTTTTTGCAAATGTTTGGCTACCTTTAGCTAGCCTTCTGCTATAATATGCTTTTAACTAGCCTTTATTACATTTAGCTTCTAGCTAGGTTTTTTTTAGTTTTACCTAACATTTTGCAGCGTTTAGCTTTTAGCTAACTAGGAACTGAACCAACAACTGAACAAGAAAAGGAGCAGAGGGAACGAGAAGACGAGCAGAAGGAAAGAGAAGAGGAGCAGAGGGAAAGAGAAGAGGAGCAGAGGGAAAGAGAAGAGGAGCAGAGGGAAAGAGAAGAGGAGCAGAGGGAACGAGAAGAGGAGTAGAGGGAACGAGAAGAGGAGTAGAGGGAACGAGAAGAGGAGCAAAGGGAACGAGAAGAGGATCAGAGGGAACAAAAAGAGGAGCAGAGGGAACGAGAAGAGGAGCAGAGGGAACGAGAAGAGGAGCAGAGGGAAACAGAAGAGGAGCAGAGGGAACAAGAAGGTTTTCTCTTTTTCAAATTTACAGAAACTGAAAACGAGCTCAAAGCTAACAGTGAAGACATTCAGGACATTCTGGCAGAAGGAATATTTTCCCGCAGGAAGTGGCCTCAGGCTGCACAGGAAGTGATTTTCATGCACGCACATAATTCAGCAACATCTGCTTTGGTCCTGGCTTCAAACGAACGAGCTGTTTGCTCATTAATCCTCTCAGAAACAATGACTCAGCATTTCTTGAATGACAGAGTTGCAGCTGTTTTTGGTCCGGCTGTGGTCCAGCATCATCTCTTAGCTCCAACAGCTACTACCACAACAACGTTTAGCACGTTAGCTGCAAAATTCACAGAGTTAGGTTCTTTATGTGTCGGCTAAGTCTGAAAAACATTGGCGGCCATCTTGAATCGGCCCCCGAAAGGTGTTTACTTCCTGCAAATATTACCACCACTGGCCCACTTGTCCATGAGATATTTTGCTGACAGACACACAAACATGATCGCCCACGTTTCATCACTTTTTATCAGTTAATAAGATGAAACCTGGGATTCTGTCCCGCAGAACCAAAGCTTCTAAATTAACACAAAAACAGCTGAAAACAGACGAATCAAGTCACTTCTTTTAGTGTTTGTTTGGGCATGAAGAGAAAATGAGTGAAAGGTGCACGCAGCAGTTTATGGGTTTTGTCCATGCATGTAAAACACACACACACACACACACACACACACACTTTGTTTGGCCCGTCACAAGACCAGATGGCATTAGGGGTGTTCCAGACATTTTACAGTGTGTGTGTGTGTGTGTGTGTGTGTGTGTGTGTGTGTGTGTGTGTGTGTAGGAAAAAAAGGGGGTTGGTAGTAAATTAAAGCTCGTCTGCACACACACACAGACACACACTTGGCAGTGCCACTCTGATGCCAGCGCTGCCAAAAAACTGAGAATAAAACAAAAGCTGGGATGAACCATCATGCCGCTCCCCCTCTCCCGCCCCCCCTCTCCCCCCCTCCTGAACCAGATGGTTTAACCCGCAGATCTCTGCGGTACCGGGGTCCAACATGTCTGCCAGGTTAACTCGCATCACATCCGAACACAAAACGACTCAGAACCTGCAGTCTACGAAGGAACTCGCGTCTCTGAACTGGAGCTGGATTCAGAGAGGATGAAAGAAAAACAGGAAGCTTTGGGACTCAGGAGGAAACAGGAAGTGGTTCCCCCCACATTCAGTGCAACAATAGGCTTGATATRTATCCGTGATACATCAATCAGAGTTAGGGTTGTTGGTAATACATTTATAAMTCATAGAGAAATCCAAAAATATAATGTTTTCAGTTTAAATGACCCAAAGGTTACCAAACAACACAGAGGATGGATAAACAGGCTAATCTTTGACCAGGCTGGGCTAATGTCCGATTAGGGCTGCCACAAACGATTATTTTAATAATTGATTAATCACCAAYTATTTATTYGATTAGTCGACTAATCAGATCAYACGTTAATTGAATATAAAACAGAGCTTATCACGTCAGAATRCAGCTGCTATTATATAACCATGGTTAGATTTTAGCTATATGCTAACTAAAAATAAYAGCTGTGGAAGGTAAGTTCTGCTCTGCAGATATTACACAGGTTTCTCTTTCATTTTCTTAAAATGATCCCACACTTTGAGCTCTGTTGTCAGGTAGCCATGATACCAGAGCCTGTCTGTATAATGTCTTGTGACGTCCACGGCCTACCCCAGTTACCACTACTGTGCATGTGTGTCAAGGACAGAAAGGCAGACGTGGCAGTGGAAGSTGTCAAAGCAGTTTGGAGAGAAAAACAAAGTAAAGAACAAAAAAAAGAAAACGATTAATCGATTAGTCGTGGCAGCCCTATCCCTGATTTTGAGTTTTTTATGAATGAGAGAAATGTTATTATGGGAGACATGTTTTAAAGAGCGAGTGAGAATGTTACGTAGCTGCTAGCTGCTGCTAACATTACAGAGCAGAAGAAGAACTGAGCGTGCCGACTTTAAAAAATAAAACTAAATTCATGGTAGGAAACGTTGTCAACTGGGGCTCGGATGTGTCCAGTTTTACTAAAGACGAGGACCAAAATGCAAAATAAACCAAGCTTTTATTGACAAACAGAACATCAAGAGGCAATATGAGCACCAAGCTAATGGATACGCTAATGCCTAGCCGAACAAGTGGCAGTTTTTTTATATAGTTTTCTAATTTATAAAAAAAACTCTCTCACAAGTAACACCCTTTTGTAAAAGAATGCTACATTAGCTAACATTAAACCTCTACAGCAAGCAGTATGTGAGTATAGATATAGAAGCAGGTCTGTCCAGGCTGCTAATGGTAATGCTAACAAATAAGCTAATGGCTAGCCAAACAAGTGGCTTTTTATATATTTTTTCAGGCTATAGAAAAAAAAACCAAATCTTTCTTAAAAACAACATAAGTGTGTGAACGAATGTTACGTTAACTAACTTTAAACCTCTACGGTTAGCAGTATAACAGAGTATGGAGAGAAAAAGCAGGTCTGTTTAGGCTAGGCTAATGACTATGCTAATAGGAAGGTTGAGTTATGCAAATTAATAGATTGATGGCTATGCTAATAGGCTACGATAAGCTAATAAATAGGATGTTTTTAAATAATTTTTCAGGCTTAGAAGAAACAATTCTTTCTCAGAAACAAAAACTGGCATTAGAAAATTMTATTTCAGCTAATATAAAACTACACTTTTAAATGACTTTGTTTATTTAGTTTGGCATTTTCTCAACAGAATGTGTTGCTATATGAATGTGAGCCTTGACTGTAGTGCAACATTAAATATTCAAAAACAGCTTCATTTTTATCATTTTGATTTAGGATTGAGTGAAATATCTGGCTATAAAGWTTTAAAGGTGCACGCTAACCATGTAATGTTTGTTAGCAGCTAGTGGTCGTGGAGCTCATGTGCTGTTGTGTTGTATGCTCAAGTCAGAACAGGAGCATAAAACATACAAAAAAAGCAGGAAGACAACAAATGTTGAAGGTAGCCAAAACGGAGCAACACTCATTAGAAGACGACAGGATGCTTTGGACTGAAAATAATCCAAAAAGTCACGACACGTGGCTAAAATTAGAGAGGAAAATCTTTCTCCTCTTGAACAGACAACAGAACAAGGACAATAGGTGAGTTCACTCATTTTTGCTGAGTAAGCTGGAAGCTAACAGAGGAAGGAGGAGGAAATTATTAAAAAGAAAAACAAACAGGAACATAAAACAGGAGAATTAAAGAAAGGAGAATGACAAAAGATTGAAGACAAAATAAAAACAAAGTTAAAAAGACAAAAAGGAGAGTTTAATAAGGTRCAAACAGTGGGGTATTTAAAGGGAATGACAGATGCCAAACAGATAAAAGGAAGAATGTGAGGCTCGTAGTGAGATGTTGGGATGATGAAGAGGAGAAGTGAAGGGGAAAACACAGAGAGGACAGATGAAGTAAGACAGTACGGGATTAGAGAGAAAAGAAAAGGATGAAGGGGATAAGACTGTGAAAAAGTGATGTCAAGAAGAAAAAAGTAAAAAAGCTCCACATCTGGAGAAATGGGGCTGAATCAGGCGGAACCAGAAAACATTTACTGGGTGTCCACACCGAGACCGTTCCTGTCATTGGTGTTGATTTTTCCTGAATGGTTGGGCAGCAAATTTCAATGTTTTTAGCTTTTAACTTACAAAGTAACAGCGAAAATATAAAGTGAAATCTTTACCCTCATACAAGTTGAACCCTTAGGGCGTTTACCTTTATCTGGAACCTCAATTATCTGTAATTTTCACAAAAATCTGTAGTACTCAAACGTATCGTGTGGAGGAGTGGTGGATTTGCAGGTGGACTGTCGGCCACGGGAAAAGACAGACCGTGAAGGGGAGATAACAGTATCTGTAGTGCCGAAGAGCAGTGAAAGGTGAACAGAGAGAGGTGGGGAACTTAAAAACAGAGCGGATTGGGAAATGGTTAATCAATTTTATTTTTGTTTTGTTGTTTGTTTGGTCTGCCAACCAATAGACTGCCAATCACCGGTCTGCCAAACATTAGACTGCCAATCACTGGTCTGCCAAACAATAATCATTGGTCTGACAACCCATAGACTGCCAATCATTGGTCTGCCAAACAACAGACTGCCAATTATTGGTCTAACAACCCATAGACTGCCAATCAATAGACTGCCAATCATTGGTCTGCCAACCAATAGACTGCCAATCATTGGTCTGCCAACCAATAGACTGCCAATCATTGGTCTGCCAACCAATAGACTGCCAATCACTGGTCTGCCAAACAATAGACTGCCAATCACTGGTCTGCCAAACAATAGACTGCCAATCACTGGTCTGCCAAACAATAGACTGCCAATCGTTGGTCTGACAACCCATAGACTGCCAATCATTGGTCTGACAACCCATAGACTGCCAATCGTTGGTCTGACAACCCATAGACTGCCAATCATTGGTCTGACAACCCATAGACTGCCAATCATTGGTCTGACAACCCACAGACTGCCAACCATTGGTCTGCCAACCAATAGATTGCCAACCAGTGGTCTGCCAACCAAAAGATTGCCAATCATTGGTCTGACAACCCATAGACTGTCAATCTATGGTCTGCCAACCAATAGACTGCCAACCATTGGTCTGCCAACCCATAGACTGACAACCATTGGTCTGCCAACCAATAGACTGTCAATCAATGGTCTGCCAAACAATAGACTGCCAACCATTGATCTGCCAACCAACAGATTGCCAACCAGTGGTCTGCCAACCGAAAGATTGCCAATCATTGGTCTGACAACCCATAGACTGCCAACCATTGGTCTGCCAACCAATAGATTGCCAACCAGTGGTCTGCCAACCGAAAGATTGCCAATCATTGGTCTGACAACCCATAGACTGTCAATCCATGGTCTGCCAACCAATAGACTGCCAACCATTGGTCTGCCAATCCATAGACTGCCAATCATTGGTCTGAAAACCACTAGACAGCAAACCAATAGACTGCCAACCCTGGATTGCTATTTACTCTAAATAGACAACTTTTGGCATGCTATCAATTGAATAGTTTGCCTCTGAGTTGGTGATAAAGCAGTTAGAATAAGGAAAAACAAATTTATCATGTTTATAAATGAGCTGGTGYTCTGTAGATTCTCAGCCATGTAGGATTTTGTAAGTTCAACAAAACTGTTAACATCTACTTCAAATTTCAGCTTTCTAAAACTTCTAATTCATGCCTTCAGGCTTTTCTGGGTAATTTTCCTGAACCCCACTTCTGAACATGTGAACTATTTCTTTAAAGTAGCCAGTGGGCACCTCTGTCTGTGCATTAKATGTTGTGTTGTATGTTGGAAATGCTTGGCTGCAAATCAAATTTCCCTCCTTGGGGGTGGGGGGACAATAAAGGTACTGAACTGAACTGAACAGATAAAGCAAATAATGAACTGGTCATTTAAAGAGAAAACAACTAAAAGTAGGTGGAGTCAGTTTGACGGTAACGAGGAGTGAAGCTGATTGGACAAGGCTTGTTTCTACGTTTCTATTAAACGCCACTTCGTTCTTAACGCGAACACACAGTCAACGTCCAAACAAAACACACAAATCATGATGTGGATGTTAAACTCCCAAAACATTTTAACATGTCACACACTTTCCGTTACGAGCACACACACACACACACACACACACACACTCACACACACACACACACACACACACACACACACACACACACAGAAGGAGTTGGCTGCCTGTAATTGGAGTGGTGTTTGTTGCAGAGAGGTGTTGAGCGTCGCTGTAATTGCCAGGCAGGCGGGTTGACGTTCCCCGTCTCTTTATTTTTTAAGGACCAGGTAATTAGGCTCTGTGACGGCAGTCGTGCCTCTGCCACCACCGGCACAAGCGAACAGGTGTGGGAGTCGGCAGCCGAAGAACCACACAACGCCTCGCCAGACGTCACGGACCGACCGCGGAGCGAGAGGAAAGAGGCTGTTCAGCCGYGGCGAGGACGAGAGCCGGAGCCGCGAGGCTTCACCCGAAAAGAACCTGAGCTGAAACCGTGATCACCGTAATGGGTGAAGGTGAGAGGCTCGTCTGATTGGAGGAGAGGAAACGAGCAGATTGTGTGAAGAAAAGACACCTGTGAATGCAACTAATAACTGAAGCGGAGCCACTCGGAGACAGAGCAGCACTTCAAACTCATGCTAACGGCGACGATGCTAACAGCAGCACGTTTTCCTTTCTCTGATCCGAGCCGAACAACAAACCGTGAAGGATGATGTCACTGGTTCTGAGCAACAGTTACAAACAAAAATCTTACTTGTAGATCACTCTAAATTTGAAGACATCAAATTTCATTTTRACTCGATTGACAAGCTAACGGCTAATCTGAGAGAAACCAAGATTTTAAAATATTACCGCAGTCCTAAAAAACTCCAAATTTTAAAGCAATATAGTGTCGTAAAGCTCACATTAAAGTATTATTTTGGGAAATCTAATTTTTTTAAGTAAGTGCCCGCAGGCTGCACAAAAATGGCTACTGTTAGCATTAGCTAATGTTGTTAGCATTAGCTAATGCTAACTGAGCTTGAAGATAACCAGAATCTCAACYAAAGAACTTCTGAAATTTGATTCTAACATGAACGTTTATAAATTAACATGTTTTGTTTTTCTAAAGTACAGTTTCAATCCACTCTGCTTTGGTCCCGCTCTGACYAGCCATTAGTTCATCACTCCAGTCAGAATGAGATCCTTTTTCTCCCCCAGGTTCAGGACAATCAAAAAACTATTTACTACAAGATAATTACTAGTTTATGACCTTTATGTCTAAACCTAGAGAAGTACGGAGTTTTAAACATTTTAGTCGCAACAACTTTTACCTTAATATCTGTAAAACTTACCAACTTAATCATTTTGTTGTTGCGGCGGCGGCCATCTTTAACAGGTCAACTCCAAACAATCAGTTGCAGACAAACATCCAGCAATTACTTTAATAAATTTGTCCAGTGGTTCAATTGATATTTTGCTAACAGAGTCTTCTCCAACAGGTAAAGTTGTGAGCCCTAGGAGTATGACCTGAGGACGACTCTCAGCTACTACCACATCAAAGTTTAGCTCAATATCTGTAAAAATGACTTGAGTTTTTGCAATTTTTGTGGCTGGTAATAAGAATTAAACCAGAGGAGCCCAAAGTGGGGCCCGCGGGCCAAATTTGGCCCACCAAGTCATTTGATTTGGCCCACCAACAGTTGCCAAAGTTACAARGTTGTAACCTGTTATCCTATAGGTAGAAACACAGTGTTTCCATTGGTCTAATGACTATATAAAAGGGCTGTAGTGAAGGTAGTTTTCAGTCATGGTGCTGACATTTCTTTGATTTATTAGGATTAAACATGAAACATGAAA